ACAGTCATTCTCCCCAATGCCTGTCACAACCTTGAGACAGTCCCGTAGCCATCCCAACAAGCAGCGAGGCACACTGACATGACCCCCACAGTAGTCACTAGGAAGCCCTCCAGCCCCCCAAGTCATGGAGACGGGGAGAGGCCCACGCTGCTACCCCCTCTCCCCACTGCAGTTGGTGCCTGGAGAGCAGGGGGGCTAATAGAAGCGCAGCTGTAGGCGGTGGGTGCCAGCCCCTCTGCCTGATGAATATTCATCAGCTGGGGCTCTCCTGAACCTGTGGGGAGTGGGAGGTCCCAGGCAGCTGGGCACCCCCTTCTGCGCCAGGAGGCCCTCAGGTGAGGGGGCGCTTAGCCAAGCCCTGGCAGTCCTTGGAACCTATACCCAGTACACGCATAGGCACATATGAGTTTGTGAACACGGACCCCCAGACCCACAAACAACCGTCACACAAACTCGCAACCACACCCAACGACGGGGCCAGCCACCATCACACACACACACACACACACACACACACACACACACACACACACGGCATGCAAACACAGGCACACACACTATCACACGAACCCATAATCACAAACACAGAATCACACCCAAACCACAGACACCCACCATCTCTCTCTGTCTCTCTCACATCCACCCCTCAGGCATGCAAACACGGACACACACACTGTCACATGAATTCACAAGCACATAATCACACCCAAACCACCGACACACACACACACACACACACACACACACACCCCAGGCATACAAACACAAGGGCACACCGTCAAAAGACCACAAACACACAGATACACCATCACACCCAAACTACACACACACAGGCATGAAAACACACACACACACAGAAGTACACAGAATCTCACTCTACCCATCCCCGATGTTTTACAGAAGGGGACACTGAGGCAATGAGTGGCTGAAGGCCCCTTGAAGGAGCCCTGACTCCAGGCAGAGGGTACCGCCGAGCGCCCCCTGCTGGTCCGGCCCCTTCACGAGCGCGCGGGGCGGGCACGCGCCTGACGTAACCATGGCATCCTCTTGGCACGAGCGGCCCGCACGCGGGGCGGGCGGGGCGGGCGCGTTGCCATGGCGCTGGCTGGCCGCGTGAATGGGCCATTGTTCGCAGCGGCGCCCGGGCCGGGCTGTCCCGGACCCGCCCGGACCCACTCGAGCCGGCAGAGACTGGGAGAGATAGAGACGGGGAGAGACAAGAGATGGAGAGAGACAGAGCTGTAGATGGGCAAAGACACTTAGAAGCCGAGAGAGGGACAGAGATGGAGAAAGAGAGATGGGAGAGACCTGCAAGAGAAACGCACAAATAAGGAAGGACAGAGGGAAAGGGCCAAAGGGAGGCAGAGTCGGAGATCGAGATGGAAGATGAAGGGCTGGAGTGGGAGACAGGACCAGCCAGCCAATACCCACAGAGCACACTGTGCCTGGCAACAGGATGAGGCAGAGGACCAGGACCCACAGACAAAGTCAGAGATGCTGAGAGGTGGGAAGAGACGCTGCCGTAGAGAAACCCAGTGAGAACGAGGGTCAGACATACCTAGGGAAGAAATGAAGGAAATGCTCTGAGCGCCTCTGGTCCCACCCACCTCGGTCCCTTCTCGACCCCCTTTTGGACCACACGCCTTCCCTGGTTCGACACTCTCAGAAGGCACACCTCTTTCCTACACATCTTCACACCCCAACTGACAAGACATCATTGACACAGGGTCCCAGTCTTCGGGAACCCTCCCCCAGACACTCCAAGACACCCTCACGAGCACAGTGACACCCACAAATACACCCACAGCCACCCAGTGACCCAGTCATGGTCATAGCCAGACACACCCATATGACAGAGATTAGTGCCCCACACCAGAGTGGCACTCACAGTTATAGATACGGCCCCTAGATGTGCCGTCACGTGAGGATCCTGCCAGACACCTAGTCCCCGTAACACATGGCCACACACCACCACACAGGCTTACGCTCCATGGGAACGCTGTTATATGTGGCCACTCCAGACACACAGTGCACTCTCACACATGCACAGATGTTTCCCTACATTCATTGACACCTTCACAGACACACACGTGCCTTCTGCCCAATCTGCCCCACTGACTGGGCACCCTGTCCCTTGATCCAGATTGGTATCTATGGGGATGCTGGGTCCAGTTCTCCATATTTGACAGACATCAGTCACCGGCCGACATTGGGAGGGGTGGGGAGGGAAGTGAAGTCCTGTCCCCGTCCCCCCTCAAAGAGCCGTGTCAATCCGGGCTAGGGTGGTCCCCTAACTCCTCCGTCTAGGTCAGCTTGGCCCAAATCTGAACCAAGGGTGTCCCCTGGTGGCCATGCATGTTATCTGCACCCATCAGGTTAGGGGGTGGGGTGTGTGTGCAGGGGATGGTGGGCAGCCCAGTGGCCCTGTCTGAATAGAAGGGCAGAGAGGACAGGCCAAAGTCAACACACAGAACCCAGAGACGGGAAGCCAAGGTCCAGCAGCGAGGACCCAGACCCAGAATTCAGAGCCTGGAATCCAAATCCCAGAATCCAAAACCAGATCTCAGAATCCAGAATCGGAACCTAGATCCCAGATACCAAGATCTAGAATCGGAATCTAGATCCCAGATACCAAGATCTAGAATCGGAATCTAGATCCCAGATACCAAGATCTAGAATCGGAATCTAGATCCCAGATACCAAGATCTAGAATCCGAACCCGGAATCTAAAATCCAGGTCCAAGCCATCCACAATCCAAACATCTAGATCCCATCCTCCAGAATCTAGAATCAAGGACCCAGCGGGAATTCCTCGGCAGTCCAGTGGTTAGGACTCGGCGCTGGCACTGCCAGGGCCCGGGTTCGATCCCTGGTCAGGGAACTAAAAAAAAAATCCCACAGGCCACGTGACGTGGCCAAAAAAAAAAAAAAAAAGAAGTAGAATCAAGAACCCAGAGCCCTCCTCAGAGCCAGCTCCCTGCCTTCCCCAAGTCCCCGACATCAGAGCCCTGCCGGCAGGGGTTGCTGAGGACAGGAACAAACTAAAGGGGCAGGAGAGGAGCCCTGCAGTGACCACACAGAGCCTCTCCCAGCTGCTGCCCCCGTGCATTCACACACACACACATACACACTTCGACGGGATCTTATACACAGACCCACACACCCAAACATACAGCCTGTGACCATCAGGTGTACAGCACCACACACCCTCAGATACACATGCACAGTCACACAGACACACACACACCCCATCATGCATTCACCCAGACACACCATCACCCAAAGACACCTGGAACTGCCATACGCTCCTCTCCCAGCACATGAACACATGCCCATCTGTGTACCCACATGATCTCAGAGCTGCCCCCCAGCCCTGGCCATCCCCAAGCTCAGACACACAACCACCACGCCCAGAGACACACAAAAACCCATGACTCCCAGCCCTGCACGCAGATACGCTCACTCACAGAATTGTGGAGGCTGGCGCGCGCGCACACACACACACACACACACACACACACGAACTCTCCCAGGCACAGAGAAGCCCCGTGCCTTGGCAGCCACGCAGCCCCTGGGAACGGGACCCCCGGGACGGGGCTCACCGCACACCCTCATGCCCACCCCAGCCCCCCCACCCCGCCTGGCCGGCTGGCGGGCTTTAATACAGATGCCAAACTCGTAATTGTAACTGAGGGTGACAGGGTCACCTTGAGCCCCAGATGCTCGCGCGGTGACAGATGGCGTTGGCAAACCTGATTATCGGCCCCTGTGCCAGCGCCTGTGGCACCTGCATTCCCCGCCCCTCCCCCGCTCCCCCAGCACTCATTACCCACCCATTACTGGGCCTGGGGGGTGGGGGTGGGGGCCGGCTGGCATTGCCCGGGAGGGGGCAGGGACTCTGGGGGCCCCCCTGTCACCAAGGTTCCCAGCTGGCTCCCCGGCTGGCAGGAGGTGGGCACAGCTGAAGGGGGGGAAAGCAGGCGCCTCATGCCTGCCAGAGAGAGGGGTGCTCGCGGTGCCAGGGCTGAGCTGCCCACTCGGACACTGCTCGGGGTTGGCACAGAACCCTGGAGGGAGGAGGGAGAGTATGCCCCCGACTCTGTGGGCCCCTGGTGATCACCCCCCACTTCAGGGGCCTTGGAGCAGGGGCTTGGGAGCTGCCTGCCTGGCCTGTTCCCACCCCTCTGTGCAGGCCTGTGGGGTCAGAGGTCACAGGCTCCCACGCCCCACTGGCCCATCTGTTTCCTCGGGTCCCCGCCTCCTGCTCCCCTCACCTGGGGCCTTCCTTCCTGAGGCAGGAAGAAGGCTGAGGGGGGCCTGGCCAGCCCCCGCCCTGCGCTCCGGGGGGCATTTGGAGGCAACCCTGACAGCGCCACATGTCCCCGCGTCTGTGCCAGACGGGCCCATCTGCTAGGGCCCTGGTTCCAGCCGCCCAAAGCCAGGCTGCCCTCATCCACTGCAGACCCTGAGCCCAGCTGAGGAAGGAGCACCCCTGATGCCCACGCTCCAGCACAGGGCCACCCACTCCCAGGAAACCCCAATTGGAGAAACACACACACACACACACACACACACACACACACAACTAGACTTGGCCAACCTTTACGGTTCCCGTAAATGCCACACTGGGCATGGTGCTGTGTGGAGACTCGGGGGAGGTGGAGGGACAGGAGGGGCAGCTGGGGGCACGTGTGTCCTGCCTCTGACTCGGGGAGCCCAGGTTTCCCCCAGCAGCTCTGTCTGCCTCCCGGATCTCTAAGACCATGTCATCACTGTGTCTCCTAGTCTGGGTGGGGCCATCTATCTTTCTTGCAGCTGGGAGAGTCTTTGACTCATTCTGGGAGAAGAGGTCCAGCTTGGTGGTTAAAAACAGAAACCACCATGCCTTGGGTTCAAATGCCACCTCTGCCATGCACTGCTGTGTGACTCTGAGTGAGTGACTTTGCCTCTTGGGACTTAGGTTTCCTTTTCTGTAAAATGCTACTAACCCCTGTGTCATGGGGCTGCTCTGAGGACGACATGAGTTAGTACTTATCAAAGACTTAGAGCAGGGCATGGCAAACAGTGAGTACTCAATAAATATGCACTTTGGCTATGAGTGGTCCACCCCCATGGGTGGGGCTGTGCCTGGTGTCCCTAGGAGCAGGGTGAGGACTCTGGAGACCTGTCTGGCTGTCCTGCGTCCCTGGTTGCTGGACCCAGTGTGCATGGTCCAGGTTGGCGTCTTTCTCAGCCTGTCTTCCCCCGTCTCTCCAAGGTGCATGCATCTGTGTGTCCATTCGTGATGCTCAGCTCATGCCTTTGGTCTGCACTGACACCCCTCAATCCGCACAGTGGACATCCTTCACCTGGCGACGGGAGGCTGGGCTGCCCGCCCAACACCAGAGGACCACAGGTGCCCAGCGCATGTGAGCGGGCACACAGCTGTTGCAGAGGATGAACGGGGATGTAGAAAGAGGAGCAGTGGCCAAAGCAGAGGTGATTGAGGAGGTAGACAGCCATGCAGCCCAGCCGGGAGAGCACCTGGGGCCAGAGGCAGGGAGATGAGTCAAGGGCAGTGGAATCTGGAGCCAGAGACTTCATCCTACCTAGAGAGGCATGGATGCCTGGGTTCAAATTCTGACTCTGCCATCTGCTGGCTGTGTGCCTTGGGGCAACTTACTCAACCTCTCTGGGCGTCAGTTTTCTCACCCGTAAAATCATCAAAGTTCAACCAGGAAAAAAAAGAAAACCACTCTAGGGTGAGGGACAATAGGAAGGGTGGTATTCCAGGATCCCTGGGGGGGATTAAAAAGAAAACCCTTAGCTCATTGCCTGACACACAGTTGGCACTCAGTAAATGCTAGTTCTTCCTATTATCCCCTCCACCTAAGTGGATCTATCAACTCGCTCCCAGATCATGGCCCTTCTCTGTTTAAACCCTGCACCCCCAATCCGCCCTCCCGCCTCCACATCTCCCTGCCCTTCCCCCCACCACTGCCCCAGCCACCCTGGTCTCCTCGATGTTATTTCTCTCTTTCTTTCTTTTTTATTTATTTATTTTTTGATGTGGACTTTTTTTTTTAACATCTTTATTGGAGTATAATTGCTTTACAATGGTGTGTTAGTTTCTGCTTTATAACAAAGTGAATCAGCTATACGTATACATATATCCCCACATCTCCTCCCTCTTGCATCTCGCTCCCACCCTCCCTATCCCACCCCTCTAGGTGGTCACAGAGCACCGAGCTGATCTCCCTGTGCTATGCGGCTGCTTCCCACTAGCTATCTATTTTACATTTGGTAGTGTGTATATGTCCATGCCACTCTTTCACTTCGTCCCCTCCCTGTGTCCTCAAGTCCATTCTCTACATCTGTGTCTTTATTCCTGGATGTGGACCATTTTTAAAGTCTTTATTGAATTTGTTACAATATTACTTCTGTTTTATGTTTTGGTTTTTTGGCCCCGAGGCATGTGGGATCTTAGCTCCTTGACCAGGGATCATACCCGCACCCCCTGCATTGGAAAGAGAAGTCTTAACCACAGGACTGCCGGGGAAGTCCCCCTTTTTTAATTATTTGGCCGCACCATGCAGCATGTGGGATCTTAATTCCCCGACTAGGGATCAAACCCGAGCCCCCTGCATTGGAAGCACGGAGTCTTAAGCACTGGACCGCCAGGGAAGTCCCTATTCTTTCTTTTTTTTTTTTTAATTGAAGTATAATTGATTACAATGTAGTACTAATTTCTGCTGTACGGCAAAGTGACTCAGTTACACACACATATATATATATATATTCTTTTTTTATATTCTTCTCCGTTATGGTTTATCCCAGGAGATTGGGTATAGTTCTCTGTGCTATACAGTAGGACCTTGTTGTTTATCCATTCTAAATGTACTAGTTTGCATCTACCAACCCCAAATTCCCACTCCATCCTTCCCCTACCCCCGTCCCCCTCAGCAACCACAAGTCTGTTCTCTATGTCTGTGAGTCTGTTTCTGTTTTGTAGATAGGTTCATCTGTGCCATATTTTAGATTCCACATAAGTGATATCATATGGTATTTGTCTTTCTCTTTCTGACTGTACTTAGCGTGATAATCTCTAGTTGCATCCTTGTGGCTGTAAATGGTATTATTTCATTCTTTTATGGCTGAGTAGTATTCCATTGTATATATGTACACATCTTCTTTATCCATTCATCTGTTGATGGACATTTATTTTGTTTCCATGTCTTGGCTATTGTGAATAGTGCTGCTATGAACATAGGGGTGCATGTATCTTTTTTTTTTTTAAATAAATTTATTTATTTATTTATGGCTGTGTTGGGTCTTGGTTTCTGTGCGAGGGCTTTCTCTAGTTGTGGCAAGCGGGGACCACTCTTCATCGCGGTGCGCAGGCCTCTCACTGTCGCGGCCTCTCTTGCTGCAGAGCACAGGCTCCAGACGCGCAGGCTCAGTAGTTGTGGCTCATGGGCCCAGCTGCTCCGCGGCATGTGGGATCTTCCCGGACCGGGGCACGAACTCGTGTCCCCTGCATCGGCAGGCGGATTCTCAACCACTGCGCCACCAGGGAAGTCCGCATGTATCTTTTTGAATACTAGTTTTGTCCAGGTATATGCCCTGGACATGTGGGATTGCTGGATCATAGGGTAGTTCTATTCCTCGCTGTTCTTTCAATGCACCAAACTTGTGCCTCTGCCTCCGGGATGTTGCCCCTGCTGCGCCCTCCACCTGGACTTCTCTTCCATCCACCTTTCCCAGAGCTCATTCCAACTCATCCTTCCTTCCTCAAAAGCACCCCCAAGGCAAATTTTACCCTCCTGGTAGTCTTTCTCCTAGCATCCTCATCTCTTTCTCTAGGGTCTCATAGCAATTTATTGTTATGTCTCTTTGGGGGATTGTCAATGTTCCTCTCTCTCCCAGAATATTCACTACCTGAAGGCAGGGACTCTTTCCGTCTTGTTTATGGCTACAGCCCCAAGAATCACAACAAAAGCTAACACTTGCCGAATCCTAACACCCTGCCGGGCCCATGCTGCTCACCTTTGAGGAACTCCCTCCTCCCCACAATGCTGCAAGTCTGGAACCATTAATATCCCCATTTACAGATGAGGAGACTGAGGCTCAAAGAAGTCCCTTGCTTGCCTAAGACTACGCAGCGGCCGAGGGGTCTGCTAGCCTTTAGAGCATCCTTGTGCCCCCCCGGGACAGTTGCAGCTCTGGGAGAGGGTACACAGCTGGATCCCAGGTCAGGGGTCCCCTCTGCTGTGTGCAGTGTGCACGGCTGTATGGGGCAACTGAGGCAGCTGGTCCAGGGCTGTGCAATACCACCGAGTGGTCTGGATTCAATGAAGGTTTGCTGAATGGATAACAAACCAAGGGGTCCTGGGAACTGACACCCTGGTAAGCATGGTGCCAAACACTTTGCATGAGTTCTCAACGATCATTAACTCCCTTTTGCAAAGGTGGGACTTGAGGCATAAAGAAGGAAAGCCACTTGCCCTGTGTCACACAGAAATCAGCAGCTGAGGCAGAAGTTGAACTTAGGTACGCCTAGCTCTAAAACCTGGGCCATAAACAACACATGGTATGAATTTTCAAAACCTTTATGGAGCGCCAACTGAATGCAGCTGTACGAGTGCTTCCCTTACCCCTCTCATTCAGGCTGCCCAATAGCCCTTAGGAGGCAAGTACTACTATTATTCATTCATTCATTCATTTAACAAATACTTAGTGCCCACTGTGTCTGGCTCTGCTCTAGAGCAGGGATGGGGCTACAGAAGTGAACAAGACATAAAAATCTCTGCCCGGGCTTCCCTGGTGGTGCAGTGGTTGAGAGTCTGCCTGCCGATGCAGGGGACACGCGTTCCTGCCCCGGTCCGGGAAGATCCCACATGCCGCGGAGCTGCTGGGCCCGTGAGCCATGGCCGCTGAGCCTGCGCGTCCGGAGCCTGTGCTCCGCAACGGGAGAGGCCACAACAGTGAGAGGCCCGCGTACCGCAAAAAAAAAAAAAAAAAAAATCTCTGCCCTGGTGGAGTAAACATTCTAGTGAGGGAGATAGATGGTAAATGCAACTACAAAATCAATTTCGTTTGTTAGGTGATGATGTGAACTACAGCGAGAAATAAAACAGAAAGGGGGAACATTTTAAAACAAGATCTGAGTAAAAACCTGGAGGAGGTGAGAGAAGGAACCATAGAATGTTGGGGGTGGGGAGTGCTAGAGGCAAAGGGAACAGCCAGTGCAAAGGACCTGAGGTACACATAATATTGGTGTGTCTGGAGAAAAGCAAGGTGGCTGGTGCGGCGGGAGGAAAGTGGGTGAGGGTGAGAGTGGGAGGAGGGAGAGTGGGAGAGTGGGAGGAGGTAAGGGCAGGAGATGACAGGCATTGTGTGCAGGGCCTTGTGGGCCACAGGAAGGACTTGGACGTTCACTCTGAGTGAAGTGGGAGCCATGGAGGGTTCTGAACAGAGGAGGGATGTGATCAGACTCAGGTGTTCCCAGATGCCCTCTGGCCACTAGATGGAAAACTAGACTCAGGAGACAGGGTGGCCATAGCAGAAGCTGGGAGACCAAGATGGCAGCACTTGCATTGGCCCAGGTGGGAGATGCTTATGCCCCATCTTACGAGGGAGAAAATGGAAGATCAGAGACATTTAGGTGAAGGATGCAGGGTTGACCCCAAATCTGTCTGGTGCCACAGCTGGTGCTCTATCAACGCTGAAACCCAGCCCTCTCCTTCCCCTGCTTGAGTGAAGGGCACGGCTTTGCACATCTCCTGGGCCACTTCCTGTGGGTCCAGCGGCAGAGACAGTGATGGCCACATCCTGCCCGTGCTGCATCCTGCCGGTCCCCAGCTGCCCAGTTTTCTGCAGGCCCAGGAAGGCCTTCCAGCTGCCAAGGGCAGAGGACGGCACTGGGAAAGCTGGGGCCCCTTGACCCAGAGACTGGGTCTCATTGGCAGCAGCCTGGGGCTGAGCCGGGAGGCCTCGGGGTCCAGGCCTCCCTAAGCCTGTGGGTGGCCAGGCCCCACTGAGCAGGCTCAAGAGAGTGGTCAGCTGGCTGAGGATCATCTGTTTGTCCGTCTTTCCGTGTGTTGGTCAGTCTGGGACTGGGCTCGGGGTCCTGGGCAGCCAACCCTGCTGTCTGGTAGGTGGACTCTGTGCTCTCTAGATCCGCCCCCCCCCTTTTTTTTTTTGGCTGAGCTGCGTGGCTTGCAGGGTCTTAGTTCCCTGACCAGAGATTGAACCAGGTCCTAGGCAGTGAAGGCGCTGAGTCCTAGCCACTAAGGGCACCAGGGAACTCCCTCCAGATCCACCTTGTTTGTTGTTGTTTGCTTCGTCTTGTTCTTAATGTTTATTTATTTATGTATTTGGCTGTGCCGGGTCTTAGCTGCAGCATTCAAGATCTTAGTTGTGACATGCGGGGATCTAGTTCCCTGACCGGGGATCAAACCCTGGCCCCTGCATCGGGAGCGTGGAATCTTAACCACTGGCCCACCAGGGAAGTCCCCAGATCCACCTTTAATGGCTTGCCCCCAACCTGGGTAGCCTGGGAGGCACCTCTGCAAACCCACAATGGGGAGGAGAGTAAAACCCTTACCTGCTGGGTTCCCCCCCCCCCACCACCCTGGCACGGGATCTGGGGGCTGGGCTTGAGAGTGTGTCGGCTGTGGAGACCAGAAAGGAAAGGTGGAGAGGCAGGGGCTTAGGGGCACAATGCTGAATGCCCTGAGGGGCTCCTTTCCCATCAGGGCCCCATTCTTCCATTTAGCAAACTCAGACTTTGCAGTTATGCTTCTCAGGCTTCAAACTCAACACTGAAACTCCCTGGTTATGCAACCTCAAGTCCCTAAACCTCTCTGGGCCTCAGTTTCCTCTTCTGTAATATGGGGATAACAACAGTCCCTACTTGGGGGAATTCCCTGGTGGCCCAGTGGTTAGGACTCGGTGCTTTCACTGCCAGGGGCTAGGTTCTATCCCTGGTTAGGGAACCTATCCTGCAAGCCAAGAGGCACCACCAAAAGAAAAACAAAAAATAAAACAGAAAAGCCAGTCTCTGCTTGGTAGGGTTGTTCTGAAGACTGGAGATGATTTATGTAAGGAGCTTCAAATAGAGGTTGGTACACAGTAGCACCATGAATAAGCTATGATTAACACTATTGCTGTTGTTTTTTTCTTTGGCATGCATTAGAGGCCAGGAATAATTCTGAGCCCTGGGGATACAGGAGGACAACACAGAAAATGGGTCCTCGCTGCCACAATGTTTTATACATTGTAGAAAACAGACAACACAAGATAAGATGATTTCAGAGTCTTAAGTGTTACGAAGATACTAAAATGGGATGCGCCTGGGCTTCCCTGGTGGCGCAGTGGTTGAGAGTCCGCCTGCTGATGCAGGGGACACGGGTTCGTGCCCCGGTCTGGGAAGATCCCACATGCCGCGGAGCGGCTGGGTGCGTGAGCCATGGCCGCTGAGCCTGCGCGTCCGGAGCCTGTGCCCTGCAGCGGGAGACGCCACAGCAGTGAGAGGCCTGCGTACCGCAAAAAATAAATAAAATAAAATGGGATGTGCCTTAGAGGAATCGGGGTGGGGGTTTCTGACCCCAGGGTGGTCGGGGAAGGTCTTTCTGTGGAAGTGACATTTTTGCAGAGAGCCTAGGTGCTGTGGGAACAGCCCCGTGGGGAGTGCTGGTTGGAGTGCTGGAAGCACATAAACAGCCCCGTCCCAGGATTTGGGGCCCTGGAGGCGCCTGGGGGTTCCAGTCCTGGCCCTGGCACCTGCGCGGCCCCCACCTCACACCCAGGTGAGGAGCTGTAGGCCCCGGGGCCCTGAGATGCTGCAGAGCCGGTCCTTCCCGTGCCCCCCGGAGCTGCGAGTGCGATGGGGTGCGCTTGCCCTCTGGCGGCAACTCTCGGGATTGCACGGCGACCGTGCCCTGGACAACTGCCTCCCGGACGTCTCACCTGGAGGTGCGCGGGCAACTCCCACTGACCCCACTACATCCGAGCCCCTGAGCGTCCCCCAACCTGCCCTTCCGCTGTCCTCTAGACCCAGCTAATGGCAGCGCTGTCCTGCCAGGTACTGAGGCTCCAAACTTGACAGCATCTTTAAGCCCCCTCTTTCTCTGACTCCCCCACCCCCAATTTGATATGACTGCAAGTCCCTTCCACTTCAGAATCTACCCAGAATCCGCCCATTTCTCACTCCCTCTTCGGTCACCAACCTGCACATAATCCTCATTATCTCCCACCTGAACCAGTGCAGTCCCTCCACCCTGGTACCCCAGCTCCCGCCTCCTCCCTCCCTCAAAGTCTATTCCTCCGACAGTACCCAGAGGGCTACGCCGGGAACCACCTTACTGAGATTAACAGCCAAAATTCTCCCTGAAGCCCAGCAGGCCCCACCCTGTTTGCTCCCATCACCACCCCACCCTCGTCTCTCCGCACTCTCTCCCCCGTTTTCTCACTCCCTCCAGCCACGCGGACTTCTCTCTTCCGTAGACTCACCCAGGCATAATCCCATAATCCCACACAGTTGTTCGGGGCTGAGACACTCTTGAAGTTTCAACATGGAAAATATAGATAAGAAAAATGAAGTTAAAAAAATTGCCCAAGAAGGTGCTGACGTTTTGGGGAAGAGGGATAAGAATTTACAGGTACAATTTTTTAAAATTTATTTTTGGTTGCATTGGGTCTTCGTACGTGCTTTTTTCTCTAGTTGCGGTGTGAGGGCTTCTCATTGTGGTGGATTCTTTTGTTGGGAGCACGGGCTCTAGGCGGGCGGGCTTCAGTAGTTGTGGCTCACGGGCTCTAGAGCGCAGGCTCAGTAGCTGTGGCGCACGGGCTTAGTTGCTCTGCAGCATGTGGGATCTTCCCGGACCAGAGCTCGAACCCGTGTCTCCTGCGTTGGCAGGTGGGTTCTTAACCACTGCACCACCAGGGAAGCCCCTACAGGTACAATTTAATTGTATTTGCACACTGAAAAGAGCAGCAGGATTCTCCTGTTGGGGAGGGACATTTAAATAGGCAGATGAGATTGGGGGGGCGGAGGGGGGAGGGGGCGGTGTCCCTTTAGAATTTAAAAATTCAATGCAAAAAAAAAAAACCTTAAGGAAAAAGCACAAATGAAAGCAATCAATACCTTTGTTCTGCCCCTTGTTTTTTAAGTGATTTGGGGCATTCAAGTAAGTATAGATAAAAATAGATAAAATATATAATAGGTATAGATAAGTATATAGTAATATATATATGTAATATATAATATAGAGAGATAAAAATATAACAAACACCTCTGTACTCATTACCACAATTAAGAAATAAAAGATCACAGATATGAGAGAAACTGACTCTATACTTGTCCCTAATCCCTGAATTTGCCAATTATAATCCTCAGGCCTGTATTCATAGTTTTACCGTATATGTGTCCATTCAGAAAAGATACATAAAATTGTTTTGTTTAAAACAATATACACGGTATCTGAATGTATATATCCTTTTAACTTTCATCTGTCCTGCCCTTCAGTATTTCACTGCACATATATACACCCCAGAAATGTCCAGAATGGGCAAATCCGTAGAGACAGAAAGTAAACTAGTGGTTGCTAGGGGCTGGGTGGGGAGGGGGACTAGAGAGTGACTGCTTAATGGGTACAGGTGATAGAAATGTGCAAGAAGTTAAAGAGAGATGGTGGTTGCATAACATTGTGAGTAGACGAAATGCCACTGAATCGTTCACTTTACAACGATTAATTTTATGTCATGTGACTGTTACCTCGGTTTAAGGCCTGCCCTCAGAAGCCACTTCCCCATGACCATTTGGTACCTGCTGGGTGCAGAGAACTCCAGCCAGCAGCTGAAATTCAACCCAAGCTGGTTTGACATCAGAGTGCCTACTTTTAACCTCTAAGCTCTGGTTCCCAGCTTAAAACTCAGAGTGGTTCCCACATTTCCTGGTCTGGTAGGAAACTGTAGCTCAGATGTCCCACACCTGGCTGCCTACTCCTTTGCCTCCACTATAATGGTTTGTTTTTCTCACCCACAAGACTGTGAGCTGTTTGAGGTCAGGGACTGTCTCTACTTCATTTCCTATCTCTTCAAAGGTCCAAGGAGCCAGGGAGGTGTCCACTGAGTTAAACCTGAATGATAAGAAAGAGCCCACCGTGTCTAGATCCTGGAGACAGTTCTAGGCATGATAACAGCAAAAGTAATGAAAAGGCTCTGAGGTTGGTGCAGGTCAGGGACCATGTGGCCCCTTCTGCCTCTTAATGGGTCTTCCTGCTTCTACATGTTGCCCCACTCAATATCTTTTCTGCTCAGCACCCAGAAAAGAATTGTAAGTCATATCCATTACTGCTCTGCTCAGAAACCTCCCATGGCTCCCCATTGCCCTTGGAATAAAACCAGAACCCCTCACCATGCCCTATAATTCCTGCATGGTTGGCCCCTGCCTAACACTATCATTTTACATCCCCCTTCAATTCTCTTCATTCACTGGACCTCAACCACGCTGGCTATCTGTCCCTCAGCAAACCCTGGGGACAGACTTGTTGAGCACCTCAGGGAAATTTCCCCGTGGGCACATGGGGACACAGACAGGGAGGCTTACTGCAGCATCATTTCTGCAAACAAGAAAAATTGGAGGGACTTCCCTGGTGGTGCAGTGGTTAAGAATGTGCCTGCCAATGCAGGGGACACAGGTTCGATCCCTGGTCCGGGAAGATCCCACATGCCACGGAGCAACTAAACCCGTGCGCCACAACTACTGAGCCCGGGTGCCTAGAGCCTGTGCTCCGCAACAAAAAGAGAAGCCACCGCGATAAAAAGCCCACACACCGCAACAAAGAGTAGCCCCCGCTTGCCGCAACTAGAGAAAGCCTGCGCACAGCAACGAAGACCCAACGCAGCCAAAACATTAATCAATTTTTTTAAAGAAAGAAAAATTGGAAACAAACATCCATCAAAACAGCCTGACAGAATAATTATAGTTTATTCATACTACAGATAATACTGAGCAGATATTTTCTCCAACTTTTTTTTTAACCGCTAAATGCAGTAAGAAATACATTTTACACTGTAAACCAGAGGTAGCAGATTGTACTTTCCAAAGAGGCCTCGACAATATGTCCTATCCTATATGCTCTACGTACAATCCTTTGTATGCGACTGTGACAATGTGACTTTGACAATCCTTTGATTTAGTGACAAGGTCTCTGACCCCTCCCCTTGAACCTAGACAACCTTTGTGACTGGCTTGACCAATCGAATACAGCAGAAGTGAGTCCTGTGACTTCTGAGACTCAGTCATAAAAATGCCATGCACTTCAGTCTTGTTCACTTGGGATCCAGCTGCCACGTTGTGAGAAAGCTCCAACTGGCCCACGCAGAGAGACCACTGTGTAGCTGTTCCAGCCAATAGCCCAGCTGAGTATCCAGCCAGAATGAACCATAAACCATGAATAAATAAAGATGCTTTCTGATGATTCTAGCCACAGGGTATAAACTCACTCAACTTTCAATTCTTCCCACTGGGGCTGCAGATAGCAATGGAGCAGAGACAAGCCACGCCCACCGTGCCCTGCCCAAATTCCTGATCTACACAATGAGCGTAATAAAATGGTTGTTTGGGGAAGGTTTGTTAGGTCAATCACAATTGTACCACCAGTATATACATACACGTATCTGTGACAGAAATAAAAGCTTTACCAAACAATACTTACCCTTACTACACGTGATACAACCTGACATTTTAATTTTATTATATTTTTTTCATTAATAATAACTGCTATGCACCTATGTTCACAGGAGCATTATTCACAGTAGCCAAAAGGTGGATGCAGCCCAAATGTCCATCAGTGGTTGAATGGATAAACAAAATGTGGTAAATACTTAGGATGGAATATTATTCAGCCTTAAAAAGGAAGTAAATTCTGACCCATGCTACGATGTGGATGAACTTTGAGGACATTATGCTAGGTGAAATAAGCCAATCACAAAAGGACAAATACTGTATGATTGGACTTGTACGAGGTCCCAAGAGTAGTCAAATTCACAGAGACAGAAATTAGAATTGTTGATTACCAGGGGCTGGGGGAGGGGAGAATGGGGAGTTAGGGTTTAATGGGGACAGATGTCCCCTTCTGTTTGTTTGTTTTTAAGAGTACACACCTTTATTTCTTTATTTTGGCTGCATTGGGTCTTTGTTGCTGTGCACGGGCTTTCTCTAGTTGCAGCAAGCGGGGAATGCTTCTCGTTGTGGTGGCTTCTCTTGTTGTGGAGCACAGGCTCTAGGAGCAGACTTCAGTAGTTGTGGTGCACAGACTTAGCTGCTCTGCGGCATGTGGGATCTTCCCGGACCAGAGATCGAACCCGTGTCCCCTGCATTGGCAGGTGGATTCCTAACCGCTGCGCCACCAGGGAAGCCCTAAAAGTAAATAATTTTTAAATTAAAAAAAAATGATTTCTATGAATCATCCTTCCCTTAATTGTAAACCTGGAAATAAATAAATAAATGCTGGTTGGAACCCACTTCACTGACTTCCTGAATCAATAACGGCCCTGTCACCCACACTGTGAAAAACACAGCTACACAGTATGTGCAATAAATCTACATGGATCCAGGACTTCCCTGGTGGTTCAGTGCTTAAGAGTCCGCCTGCCGATGCAGGGGACATGGGTTTGAGCCCTGGTCTGGGAGGATCCCACATGCTGCTGAAGCAGCTAAGCCCGTGCACCACAACTACTGAGCCCGCGTGCCACAACTACTGAAGCCCACCCGCCTAGAGCCTGTGCTCTGCAACAGGAGAGGCCCCCACAGTGAGAAGCCCGTGCACCGCAACGAAGAGTGGCCCCTGTTCGCCGCAGCTAGAGAGGGCCCACGCACAGCAATGAAGACCCAACGCAGCCAAAAATAAATAAATAAATAAATTTATTTAAAAGAAAAAAATCTACATGGATCCACCTGGAGATATCTGGAAACCAACAAGCGGAGGGAGAAAAGTTGCAAACTAATACATTCAGGATACCATTTATGTAAACTGTTTAAAATATATATTGATATTGTTTCCACAGACTCCAGATAAGTGGCAAAGGCATAAAGATTGATCCTGGAAGAATATGCTAATTTCAAAGTATCTGTTACTCCTGAGAAATGGGAGGGGGGTGGGGGGGGAGGGGGGAGCATCTGTAGGCGGAGGCCTTACTGTCATTGGAGGCTTTCATAATAGGGTTCAAGTTATATTAAAAGGAATTTTTAAAAAAATATCTGAAGCAATCGAGCCAAAGTGAATATTTGTTAAACCTGGGTGATGACACAATGACTGTACTCTTCTGTCCCTGTGAAATAATCCATTAACACTGTTAATAAGAATGTATAAGCAACTCTAGGATACATAAGAAACTAACACAAGTTGGGGTGGAGGGGCTCAGACACAGAGGCAGAGGATGGGAGATGGGTGGGGATAAGACTTCTCACTGAAACCCTTTATGTTGCTTGTATTTTCATTTTTTAAATTGTGAAATATAATAAAGCTACAAGAAAGTGTGCAGCCCACACATATAGTTATATACAACTGAAAGAATAATTATAACTCGGGCATCACTGAAGCCCAGATCAAGAAATAACATTGAATAAAGTCCACTTAGAGAAAAGCAAACAGGATTGGAATGCCCAGCTCAATGACCTGTTACAAAGCAAACCCCGCCCACCTGCTGCCACGTGACCACCACCCAGCTGCCTCCACAGCCCGGCGACCCATCCTGACTTCCAGAATGATCACTGCTTGGCTTTTCTTTATCTTTTACCCCTTAAGGTGTGCATCCACAATGACACTAGGATTGTTCAACTTTATTAAAAAAAGGACAATTTGTGTAAACTTTCCACAATGAAAAATATTCCTTTATGAAAAGGAATCATTTGGGTCCTGCTTCCTTTGTTGCATAAAATGTCGGTGAGAATCATCCACATTGCTGTGAGCAGCTGTGAATGCTCCTGCATTCCGGTGCAGTATTCTGTTGGCTAAAACATCACAATTTAGGTATCCAGTCTACTGCAGATGGACTCAGGTGTGGATTGTTTCCGCTTGAGACTGATATATATGAGATATATATTGCTGCTATGAACTATGAACACTCTTGTCCAGGCTTCTTTGCTCACTGAGCAAACTGAATTTTTTTTTTTTTTTTGGCTGCGTAGGGTCTTCGTTGCTGTGAAGACCTAGTTGCGGTGAGCAGGAGCTACTCTTCCTTGTGGTGCGCGGGCTTCTCATTGCGGTGGCTTCTCTTGTTGCAGAGCACAGGCTCTGCACATGCAGGCTTCAGTAGTTGTGGCACGTGGGCTCAGTAGTTGTGGCTTGCGGGCTCTAGAGTGCAGGCTCAGTAGTTGTGGCACACAGGCTTAGTTGCTCCGCGGCATGTGGAATCTTACTAGACCAGGGCTCGAACCCGTGTCCCCTGCATTAGCAGGCAGATTCTTAACCACTGCGCCACCAGGGAGGTCCCTTTTTAAATCATTTTTAAGTGTACTGTTCAGTGGCATTAAGCACATTCACAGTGTTGTGCAACCATCATCACCATCCATCTCCAGAACTTTTTCATCATCCTAAACAGAAACTCTATACCTATTAAGCAATAACTCCCATTCCCAATCTCCCTGCCCCTCCCAACCACCATTCTACTTTCTGTCTCTATGAATTCCACTACTCTATGCACCTCATATAAGTGGAATTATACAATCTATGTCCTTTTCTGACTGCTTTATTTCTCTCCGTATTATGTCTTTCAAGTTCATCCATGCTGTAGCATGGGTCAGAATTTCCTTCCTTTTCAAGGTGGAAATCCTTTCTTAAAAATAGTATTTAGGACTTCCCTGGTGGCGCAGTGGTTGGGAGTCCGCCTGCCGATACAGGGGACACGGGTTCGTGGCCCGGCCCGGGAAGATCCCACGTGCCGCGGAGCGGCTGGGCCCGTGAGCCGTGGCCGCTGAGCCTGCGCGTCTGGAGCCTGTGCTCCGCAACGGGAGAGGCCACAACAGCGAGAGGCCCGCGTACTGCAAAAAAAAAAAAAAAAGTATTTAATTTCTACACCACGATCAAAAGTTTTAAACGTTTTAAAATATAAAAAAAATTAAATTAAAAGGCATAAAGTAACTATTTTCAATAGAATTTAAAATAAAATTTCTACATAAATATCTTAAACAATAGCTACATTCAAATTTAAATGTTTTAAACAGAAATGTAAATATTTAAAATAAATGTTAAGTAAAGCTTTAAATAATTATTGAAAATTAAAATTTTAATAAAGATACTAAGATCAAATTAAAAAGCATAAAATGTTATGAACAATATTTAAATAAGTGTTTATAAAATTTAAATATTTCGAATAATTTAAAATATTTAAATTAAAATATAAAGTATCACGTAGATTGAACTTAAAATTGAAATGACATTTGAATGTTTAAATATTTAAATGATTTTAAATGTTAAACATTTAAATGTTAACATAGAAAGTAATTGCTTTTTCTTTTTTTTTTTTTTTGCTGGGATCTTCGCGGACCGGGTCACGAACCCGTATTCCCTGCATCGGCAGGCGGACTCTCAACCACTGCGCCACCAGGGAAGCCCATAAGTGCTATTTTTAAAATATATAATTAAATTTTAAATACGACTTTAATAAATTAACTGCTACAATAACATTTAAAATTACACTTGAAGATGTGTAAAAAAATATATTACTCCCCTCTTCTCCCTGCCCAGAACAGAGGCAGTAGGGAAGCTACTGGCCTCCTCCGGGACTTCAGCAAACCTCACGCGCAGGCAGCGCCTTGGCCAGCCCGGCCAGCTCGCGAGGACCCCGTACGGCCAATATGGCTGCGCCCGTACGGCAGGCGCGCAGCCTGCTCGGGTTGGTGACGACCCTAGGCCCGGGCTCCCGCGGCTACCGAGCGCCTCCGCCCCCGCGCCGCTCAAGGGGGCCCTGGTGGCCCGACCCGGATGACCCACTGACCCCGCCCTGGCAGCTGGGGCCGCGCTACGCAGCTAAGCAGTTCGGGCGGCATGGCGCCGCCTCCGGGGTGGCCGCCGGTTCTCTGTGGCCTTCGCGGAAACAGCTGCACGAGCTGGAGGCTGAGGAGCGCGAATGGTACCCGAGCCTGGCGGCCATGCAGGAGTCGCTGCGGGTCCAGCAGCTGGCCGAGGAGCAGAAGCTACAAGCCAGGTGCGTGCGTGCGGTCGGGCAGGCGCGGGGCTGCGGGCCGTGGGTGAACTGTGTCCCAACAGCAGTACTTAGTCCCTTGGGCAGTTTATCGCGGGGTTTGTATGCAGTATTTACGTGAATCCTCACCTAGATACAAAACAGACTTCTGAATAACAGTTCATTTAGTCATTCATCAACAGATCTTTCCTGAGCGCCTACCGTGCGCAAGGCCTTGCCCCCACTACTGAGGACACAGCTGGGAACAAAACAAAGATAATTTCAAGTGTCGACAGAGAGCCATTAGGAAAATAAAATTGCGTGGAGAATGCATGCCTGAGGGCGACTTCGGTTTGGTAGGCCTCAGGCCTGAGAATTTGACGTTTAAATGTTTAAGCAGAAACCTGAATGATCAGTGGTAGTCATGGGAAGATCGTAGGCAGAGCGTTCTCAGTAGCGGGAACAGCTGGTGCAAAGGCCCTGAGGTAGGAATGTGCTTTAAGGAACAGCCTGGACATTAGTGTAGCTGGGGAAGAGTGGGAGGTGATGGGGCATGGAATCAAGGGCAGAGGTCAGCCTTTGAGGCAGGTCTGAAGGATTTGGAGTAGAATGGAAGCAAGACCAGGGACATTGATTGTGCCACTTAACCGAAGGGAGGGGGCAGCCAAAGGCAGGCAGGTGTGTTCCTGGTGTTTATTGTTCTTGTCCTCACAGCAGCTCTAAGAGGAAGAGGGAACCACCCTTATTTCAGAGATAGGACACTGAGGCCTAGGAAGGTGAAGTCACTTGTCCAGTCACTTAGGCAGTGAACGGTGGAGTTAGGATGTGAACACCTCTCTGATAACCCCAGTTATCCCAGCTGGTTGACCCTGCCATGGGGCTTTCAGCTTCATGTTTCTAATTCTTAAAATGGGACAGTGACTCACACCTACAAACTCACAGGATTGGAGGGAAAGGTCCAATCCATTTCTTGCCTTCACTTCTGTGCCTCGAAGTAGGCCTGGCATACAGTGGTTGCTCAGTGATGTCTGTAGGACGGAGGAGTGAGCTGTGGGAATAGCTGGCGTAACACGCAGCATAACATGCGACATTCAGTAGACAGCTCAGGGAAACGTCGCGTTGACTTGGGGTCTGCTCCTAGGAATTACTGGGGCTTGGTTCTCTCATGCTCAAGGCTACACATGTTGGTTTCTCTTCTCCGCCTCTCTTCACTTGTCAAGAATTTTTCTTCAGTTTTAATGGCCACCATAAGTCTTCCTGGTCTTTCATCTGGAGATGTGGGGGCGTTGGGAGAAGCAGGATGTGGGCAAAGGCTTGGGGGTGGGTGGTGGGTGGATGGGTACTGCTCTGGCTGCCCTCACTGACCACTCTCTTTCCCCTGCAGGGAGCAGCTCATTGAAGAGCGCATGGCCAAGATGCCACAGATGATTGAGAACTGGCAGCGGCAGCAGCAGGAGCGCAGGGAGAAGGAGCAAGCAGACAAGGAGCGGAGGGCTCGGCTGCAGGCTGAGGCCCAGGAGCGCCTGGGATACCACGTGGACCCGAGGAGTGCCCGCTTCCAGGAGCTGCTGCAGGACTTGGAGAAGCAGCATCGCAAGCGCCTCAAAGAGGAGAAACAAAGAAAGAAGAAGGAGGCACGAGCTGCTGCGATGGCCGCTGCTGCAGCCCAAGACCCAGCAGACTCTGCAACACCCAGCTCCTGAGTTGTGTTCTTTCCCAATAAAACCTGCTGCCTGATAGCCCCACCCCTGAAGAGCTCCGCATCCTTTCTTATCACACCCCTCCCTGGGCACCCTGGTTCTTTCCCCAGCACCTGGAGCCAGGGAATCCCCACCCTTCCCTGACTCTGCTCACTGAGGGACTCTAGGCCATGCCGACTAACTCTGGGGCTTCAGGGGGAGTGAAAGGGGGATGCAATGGGGAAATAATGGAGGAGCAGATGGCAGAGGAGAAGAGGGCTTCTGTTTACCAACATTAATCTCCAGTAATTAGCCAATTACCAGGGGGGAAGTGTAGCCAAAACAGACTGTGGTGATGATGGTGGGGGGCAGGGAGAAGCAGCCCTTCCAAGGCTGAGCCAGGGCTGGGGCTCATTGCCTGGGAGTGAGACAGCTTGGGGGAGGGGGAGTGAAGACACTGGGAGCCCCAGTCTGCAGAGGTTGACAGACCCCTCTGCCCTTTCATGGCATTCCCGCATCTCCTGTGTCCAACTAGCCCCAGACCCATACAAGCTGGAGTGGGAAGCCCCAGCAGGCACAAACCACAGGACTGGCTTTTAAAACTTTATTCACTTCAAAATCTTTTATCAGAGACACGGTTCTGTTCTGGGGTGGGGGGTGGCCTTGACCTCCAGAATGACTCTGATGTTTCCCCTTCCCCAGGCAAGACAAACCAGACCTCCTCCTCCCCAGCAAAAGGATGCAGGATGAAGGCCAAGGCCAGACCATGGAGGGGTCTTGGGCCTCTGAGTGCTCACCCCAGATGGAAAGATTTGGGCCACTCCAATGGAGAATCAAAGTTTGGAGCTCCAGCTACCCCTCGCCCTGCAGGAGGGCGGGGGAGCTCTCAGGGGCTCTTTGGGGGATGGGGAAGCAAACAGCCGCCTCTCCATCTGGCTGCAGGGAGCTGGGACAGAGGCCAAGAGGGGCCCATCTGTCACCTCCAGTCCTGCCAGCTCCTTGGAGCAGGCTGGGCTCGGGTGGGGGATGGGAGGACAGCTGTCTGGCCCAGGTCTTCTCAGGCCAAGATGGGAATGCGGGGCCACTTTAGGAGAGTGGGAAGTTGGGGTGGAGTGTTTTGGTTTTTATTAGTTTTTGATTTTTTTCCACTTCTTAAATAAACATGAATATATATATATTTTTTTCTTTTATAAAACTTTTGTGGAGTTGGGGGTGGGGAGGAGGGAGCGGTGGGCGGCCTGGCCTCCCGGCATCACTCGTCATCAAAGTTCTGACTCAGGAGGAAGTTGGCAGCCAAGTTCTCGTTTTTTTCACAAGCGAAGTAGGCCTGGATCACCAGGCTCTCTGGGAAGCCCAGGGCCTTCAACTGCGGGAAGATGGGCAGGTATGAGCAAGAGGTAGGGGCCCTGCCCACCCATAAGGTCACCCCTCTCAGCCAGATGTCTTACCCTCTCTATAGCCTCTTTTTCCTGCGGTGTCACCTGGATGTAGTTCATCTGTGGGGCCTCCTCGCCTATCGCACCCACCTCACCCTCCACATCCGAGATGTCTGCCAGCTCCCCAGGGGGCTCGTTCAACATCTGGATGAATTGCTCCTGGTGCCGGCTGATTTGCTGTGGGAGACGGAGAAAGTGGTGGTGACCCACAGCCCTTGTCCCCCGCTTCCCCAGGTCCCTGTCACAGCCCTTGGTTTTTCTTTCATTCACTCAGCAAATATTTAGAGGGTGTCTATTCTGGCCATACAGCCACACGGTGGACATGGGCCCTGTCCTAGAAGGAGCTGATGTTCCAGGGTGGCGAGGCAGGCCGTAAACAAGCAAGCAAGTTGACAGCAACTTACAATGTAAATACTGGGCGTAACATACATTAGGGTAGATCTTGGGCTGGGAAAGACACTTTAGGCCAGGAGCGAGGGCCCTGTGAACTACTGGATGGGGAAGGAAGTTTCCCTCCACGGAGAGCAAAAATCAAGTGCAAAGGCCCAGGGATGGGGTCCATTTGGAAAATTCCAAAAGCAAAAGATCCATGTGGCAAAACAGTAAACAAGGAAGGGAAGGAGGAAGCAGAAGATCAGATCAGAGAGGCCGGGACCAGATATGCTTTCTTCTAGTGTGATGGGACACCACAGTGGTGAGGATTAAATAGGGAAAGACATCTGTGTACCTTTTAAAAAGATTAACTCATCTGGGTGTTGCGTATCTGGGGGTTCTAATATGCCTCTCTCTATTTTTATGTACATCTGAAAATTTACACATCAAAGGAAAAAGTGCTTTTTCAGGAATCTGGCTCCTAGTGGAGAATGGACCGTGGGGGCTGTGCAGATGCAGAGAACTGGGTGGTGGCTGCCAGGGGACCTGGGAGAAGATGAGGTGGCAGCCACAGAGGTGGAGTGCAGGGCTGGGCTGAGTGAGATGTTCTGGAAGTAGAGCAAAGAGGACAGGTGAGAGACAACCCCAGCAGGCCCCCAGTGCCTGGGGCTCAAGCAACCCCAGGTCCTTGCGGGGTTACGGAGGGCTGGGAGGATCTGTTCTGGTCTTGGATATCTAAAAAGCATTTTCACGGAGGTATCAAGTCAGTCACGGGAGAGCATGGCATCCAGAGGGTCCAGACTGGTCATATGGATTTAAGGGTCGCCACAGACTGAAAGCCCTAGGATCGATTGCAAATAAATGGAGATGCGCAGCCCTGGCCCTCCAACATCTGGAGGTGAGCGGAGTCAGCACAGGAGACTGAAAAGTCGGCGGTAGAAGCAGCAGACGCCTGAACCAAGAGAGGCAGGTTTTCACAGAGGACCCGGGAGACCCTGTCACACCCAGGGGCCACTGCCCCTCCGCCCAGGAACCTTCAAGGACAGGATGGAGCCTTGCTGAGCACGGTGGTCCCAAAACCAACTAGGGCACAGCAGTCCTGGGTGCTGCCATACAACCCTATGGACATTCAGAAAGCAACAGCTAAACGCGGAGTGGAGCCAGAGCACAGGATCCAGAGACTGGAGGCAGACACACACTCCACCAGTTGCCAGGCTGCTCCAAGCCTCTGACATCTTCCTCCATGGAGTGGAGATGACAGTAGCACCCACACCTTACAGAGTGGTTGAGAGCATTACGTGAAACCACGTAGGTCATTAGGTCGCACGGAACAGCAGAAGGCTGTCGTTAGTCCTGCTTTCCAAGCATAGAGATGCCTACATACCACGCTGGGCCAGGCTCACTCTCTGGGGCTGTGGTACCCACAGGAGAAGGGAGATGGTACCTGCACTGACTCCCTCTGTCCCCAGGCCTGTACCTGTAAAAGCTGGGGGTTCTCCTGGCCCAGCTGCTGAAGCAGGGCTGGCAGCAGCGCCGGATTCTGCTGAATCACCTGCCGCATGTTCTGGAACTGGGGCTGATCCCGCAGGAATTCCAAGGGGTTCTCTCCTGCTGGCAGGAGGAAAGGGTGCGGTCAGATACCACCCTGGGCTCCCTGAAGTATGGGGGGTTGGGATGAGTCAAGTGCCTTGACAGCAGACACCCCACATGCACACCTCCCAATCCACTCACCTGCTTCTGTGGCTGGCTGCTCGGGTACTTGGCTCTCCTGGACAGAACCGTGTTCCGGCTCGGGGCTCCCAGGAATTCCCTGTCAGGGGTCCTATTTAGTTCAAAGCACAGACTGCCCACTGCCTCCTTCCTGCATACTCAGCCCTGGCGGGAGACACGTGAAGCCTCTGCTCTGCCCTCCACAGGTCCACCCCATCGCTCATGTCCAGGCTCCTGCAGGAGGTCTTTCCTGGCTAGAACCATAACCCAAAGGCTTTTGGGGGCAGATTTTGACCAGCCATCAGGGCACCGAAGCCTGCATGCTCCCTTGAGGACTCCCCAGGCAGCAGCAGCCCCACCTCACCGTGAGTAGATACTCCACGGCCCGGTGGGGATTGTTATAGCTGGCCCTCAGGGCAGCCACGACCCGCTCCCGCTCGTAGCCCATGGACATGATCTCCGTCAGCATCGTCTCGTACTCAGAGCCAGTCACTGTGGAGGGAGTGGCAAAAGGTGGGTCACCAAGGAGAGGGAAGGACAGCTCCCAGGCCCTCCCACACCCCCACAAGGCCCAGCTGATGACTGGGGCACCCAGTCATTTTCGCTCTGGGGACCACCCACCCACCTAGCGTGGAGGCCGCGTCTTCCTCTCGCCCGCTGCTACCTGAAGAGGGAACAGAGCTGCAAATTCAAGAGAGAGAAATCGGACCCTGGCTTCTGGTGGCTTTCCCTCCCCCAAGGTGTGTGGAACCACAAACGTGGGCGCTGAAATGTGCCGGAAAGACAGGGCCCAATCTGGGGCTGCTGCTCCCTGCCTTACCCGGACACAGACTCCGGGGAGGTCGTGGGGGCTGATTCCTCCGATGGGCTCTTGTCCTCTCTGGCGGTAGGTGGGGGATTGGACATGCCTGAGGCAGGGGCCGATGGGAAAGATGTGGAAGACTCCGGGGCAGCAGTGGGTGAAGCCTCTGGGGGTACTGAGGTGCCTGGGCTAGTTTTGGCCTGTGACACCCAGAAAAAGGGAGCAGGCATCAGTAACTCTATCTAGCCCCAACATCCTTCCACATCTCAGCCCCACCCTGTTCATGGCTAATCTCTCTTGGGCACACATGCTCTTTGCCAGCTCCCCAGCTAATCCACCCGTCCTCCCAACCAGCATACATCACCCACCTTGGTCACCATGACGACCACGAAGTTCTTCTCATCGATGTGATAGTCCTTGATGGGGACATCATCGCTCAGGATCTTGCCAGCATAGATGAGTTTCTGTCCAGCCACGGGGAAAGCATCACGACCCTTCTCAGCTTCTATCTTCTCCTTCAGCACCTTCACCTGGAGGAAAGGGTAGACAGTCACTGCAAACCCCGAGATTCTCTCTTCCCTTCTAGTTTGGGGGCAGGGGGGAGGCTGCATGCCCTGATGGCTGAGAAGCTAAGCTTCATAATCAAGCATACTAGACCATTCCACCATTAAACAGAATATTTGCTGAACACCTGATATGTGCCAGGTGCAGTTTTAGACACTGACGATACAGCAGAGAACAGAACTCAATACAAGTCCCTGTTCTCATAGAGATGACATTTATTTGAGAGAAGAAAAAACACATATTTCAGGTGATGTAAACATGATGAAACGCAAATCAAAATAAACGGGAGATAGGACCATTCCTCACTCCATGCTGCTGAGAGTGACCTTTACTAAGAGAATCCTAAGTTGACACCTCTATTGTAAACGTACACGGGTCACAAGTTTAAAGCCTCATATTAACTGAGTGAAACAGTTACCATTAGCCTCATTTTATATTTGAGAAAAACAGAAGTACAGACAGATTAACCAACTTGCCCCAAATCAAAAAGTTAGGCTGGTCAAAAAATCTGAGTCTGTTTCCTTTTCTACAAAAAGTGAACTTCAATGTCTCCCTCGTGGGGGAAATTGTGCAAAAAGTGCCAAGTACATATTTTTGTTAGGTCCTAAATCTCTTTTCAGCTAAAAGGACAGCATCATGTTTAGACCGTGGGCTCTCACTTGAGGCAATTCCGAATTGAAACCGCTCTGCCATGACTTGCTGTGTGCATATGCAACTATACCGAAGTTCTTTAATCCAAGTTTCCGCATCTGTGAAGTGGGGAGACTCAGAGTCCCCAAATGACAAGCCTACTTCGCAGATTTAGTAAGATAACATAAAAACGCTCAGCGACTGGTGAAAAACAAACACGGACCACTGAAACTCAAGACCGTTTATTATTATCGTCGTTGCTGTCATCACCCGGCATCTCCTGGTCACTACTCCCAGATTCGGCCACCAATGTCCCGAGGAGAAGCCTACAAAGCTGGGAACTCGGAGCACCCATCCCAGAGCAGGCCAGCCGGGAATCCGAGCCCGCGGCTCCCGCGCCCCGCGAAGACACTGACATTGGACCCGAGGCCTGGCGGGCGCCCCGGGGGGTGGAGCCTCGCCTGGAGAGAGATCCAAGAGCTCCGCCCGAGCCACCAGGGGCTGAGCCGGGGACCATCAGGGTATCTGGGAAAGTCAGGCCCGTTGGGAGAATGGGCACTGCCCGGCGCCGCGCCGTCTTCCCCGCCTCTCTTGTCAGGATCCGGCCTCCCCGCCCCCACCCCATCCCCGGCACCCGTCGCTCCCGCTCCCGGGCTCCGGC